ATTTTACTAAGGAAATTCTTTTTAAAGGAAATTTTATCTACATATACTGAGGTATCGTATGATGAAGTGAATGAATACGTCGAAAGAAAAATGAACTATTAAAGAAAATGAACATGTATTTGCATGTCATGAAAAGCATTGATTTATATATCAATAAGGATACAATTCGGTACCAATTGTACGTTAGACTCCATCGTGTGGGTGTGGGTGTATGGGTGTGCGTGTGGGTGGGTGGGTGTGGGTTTATACAAAGCTAAGAGTCACACCCACACTCACACCTACACCCACACCCTTTGTGCTTAGAGTTCGTCAATTGTAACATAAGAATCGTCATTAATAAGATCGCGAACTTCTTCAATATTTTCAGATGTTATTTCCATTATAGGTCTGCCAGGTCTTTCTTCATCTTCAACTTCTTCTCGACCTTACCGAAGCCCTTTTGACCATCTTTGAACAGTATTGAAAGGAGAAGCTTCACCATCAAAGACAGTATATAATTCATTGTGAATAACTATTGATTGAATATGAAGTGCAATACGCACTTTATTATAGAAACGAAAATGTTCTTTATCCATTTGAAGAGACTTGAACAGTTTTGATCGTATTATGATTTACGTTGGAAACACTATGCTATATTATCTTGGACGTGCTATTTCTGTTTTCCTCTTTTTTCTTTTAATATTCTCTTCTCTTGTCTTTCTTTTCTTTACTTTTTTAACTTCTCTGATATCTGGCCATGTTTATACATATAAAACACACGTGCACTGATTCTTTTACATATCTGTGTGTGTCGTTGGTTCTTGTGTATTCTCAAGGTGAAAATTTATAAAAGTTACAGCAAACTTTAGAGCGTCAAAATTTTTGCTAATATGATACAGTGAGGGCTCAAAAAAGCATGTACATTTTTGTTTTGATACTCTGAAAATCACACTAAAACCTCATTAAATTCGTTGCTTTCCAAATAGTAATTATAGAGTTTTGTTCAGTTTTTTATGCTCTTCCAAACGAAAAAGTTGGAATTTAAAAACAAATGGGTGTGGGTGTGGGTGTGGGTGTGGGTGTGGGTGTGGGTGTGGGTGTGGGTGTGGGTGTGGGTATGGGTGTGGGTGTGGGTGTGGGTGTGGGTGTTCTTTTTGACTTTAATCACATCCGCACCCAGGGTGTGGGTGTGGGTGTGGGTGTGGGTGCTTATTTTGACTTTAATCACATCTGCACCCACTGACACCCACACCTGCACCCACACCCACACCTGCACCCACACCCACGCTTTTAATCTCGAGAGAAGTGAACTCATTATAGAGAGAGAGGTTATATCTGAATAAGAATAACCAACTACTCATAATTCCAATAAAGTTAGTTAAAATCTTATTTTAGCTGTTTCCCCCTTGCACTTTTCATCAATTACACTTGGTAAAACTAACTAAACACTATTGAACGCATGATAGTTGGAAGTTTCTCATGAAAGCTATTGTCTATGCTGATTTATTGTTAAATTCTAGGAATTTTCTGAATTGAAAATTGAAAAGTTGTCACAACCCTTACTGTTATATGCTGATAAATTCCAATTTTCGGTGCGTTGTAGTTTTCCATAAAATTTGTCATGGATCCATTTTGAAATTAAAATGTTACCCCTGTCTTCCTCCTTCTCCACCTTGAAAAATACTTTTACATAACTTATATATATTCTAGTAGTCAATACGAAAATAAGTAATTGCAAAAGAAAATATAAACATATTAATTATGTATCTTGATATGAGAACATCAATGCGAAGGGTAAGTGATTGCACGACTTGTCTAAACGTGAAAAATCTAGAGATTATTCAAGGTTAAAAGCATTACTTTTTACAGATCTCCTCTTTTGAATTTTTCGTTTTTCCTGCTCGATGGAGTTTTTTAAATCATTCTTACAATTCTCACTATATGTGCTTATCCATCGACCAACTCTTTGCATTTGCTGAGCGTGTAATTTGTGAATAAGGACTAGATGGCCTTGTGATAATAATAATATATTACAATTCATACCAATTTTTCTTATTACAGATCGTCAAAAGCTTGATGTAACCAAATCAAGATAAGAAGACGAGCAGCCAGCTATTTGAATTTAATACAGGAATGTAAGTTTGACACTCCTCTATCTAATGCAAATATCCAAATAAAAAAGTCATTGTATCGATAAAAGATTACCGTGTTCATCAGAAAAGGCTTCCATAAACAACAGTGTTCAATATATTTTCGTCTTATACAATGTCACATACAAAACATTCTATGGCCTCCTATCTCGATTGCTGACATCTACATATTACTAACTATTGTTGTTACCGAGTTATTGAGTTTACAGCTACCTCTCGATAACTCTGGCACAGATATTATTCTTTTTCAATCAGTCGTTGGACAGCAATAAAAGTTTTGTAGGACTGATATTGATTGAACTGCATTTTAGACTTCTGTGGCAATCTCAGAGATACGAAAAAATACCGCTTGAAAGAGTCACTTTCATCACTTGTTCATGTCACATCTTTACCTCTGGGATAGGCTTAAAAGTGTCTGCTCGAAATTACATGTGTTGGCATCCATAGCAATGAACATACGATGTTCAAAAAAAAAGTTACGTCATTCGGTTCATATTTATTGTTCATCAACAATAAAACCAGGATTTTATTGCATCAAATCCTTTCTAGGAAAATGTTAAGCTCGCTTGATAGCAAAGCAAAAAAAAAAATGAAGTCTTTAACATTGATAAATATTAAGAGTTTAGCTGGGTCAAAACCGACACTAAACTATGCCGTTGGGCTGCAAACGTGACTCAAATTGAATTCCGTTTGAGGACCTTGCACCACTGCCCATGCATCGAGAAGAGTATCCCCTGTGGGCGTGAACACATATGCATGCTTATCACTTGGTGTTTGTATCATAGAAGTCACAACACCCGCTGACTTAAACACACAGTTGATCGATTTGAATACTGTTGTTGTGTCTTTGAGAATGAAATGCCATCCAAATGGGTCGCCATTTGTCGAAACTGGACATTCTCCTGCTGTAAATCCGGGATTTGATGAACCAATATGCGCTTTTTTCAGATAAGCCTTCTGTGCGCCAGGAGCTAGAGTTGTCGTCGCCTCTACAATGCGATACAGATATGAGATTCGCAAGATGGTAAAACTCAAATATGAATAACATACGAATACATATCACGGTTGTTCCCGAGCCAACATCTAAGTAACCAGTCTTGCAAGCGCACACAACCGCTTTGGTTAAAGTATCGTGTGAGCAAGCTGCATTCGAATTGCATCCTCCATTGTTCACTTCGCAGCTGTCTGAAACAATACAGCTTCGTTGAAAACTGATAGCAGAATAGGTATCGATCTCTGTTTATGGAAGCCTCAGAAAAAAGCATCACCTCGAATTAAATATATGATAACTTATGCGAAACTCTCTTAGGATCAAGCCTTAGTACTCTTTATGATTTCGAAATAGACAAAAACTTTCACTATCTTGTTAATTTTGACAACTCACTGCATCACATATTAACAGAATTTATACACACACTCAGATATTTGTACGTTTTTAAATTTAGTTGAAATTTAACTAGATATAAAGGTAACACATGAGTAATCGCGTAGAATCGAGAATCTCTACAAGTTCAAGTGTATTGGAGACTTCACTCAAGCATGAAGGGTCACAAAAAGTACGGAAACTACTTTCGAAAAATTATTTTACGAAAAATCATTAACAAAATACTTCAGCTATTCACAATTGCTGCTGTTTCATCGTTCATAGTTCCATTGTTGATGGAATTCAAACGAAATGAATTTCATGTGCTTGAAAAGAAATAGGCAATGAAGCTCTTCTAATTTTTGGAGTTCTTACTCTTAGAATGTCAACAATATGTCAACTCTAGTACTTTCAAGCATGCGTTCATTCCCACTTCTGTTTCAACATCTTCTTTTCTATATACGTAGATCACAATCATTAGTACTTTTCAATTTCTACGAAAATTGAAATCGGATGCTAAATATTGTACTAGTACCATAAAGCATCATCTTATATACATTACATAGAATTCTTTATTGAGTCCGGAACTAGGCTAGCTGACACTAAATCGATTGGCCTTGAGCTTTAAGCCTCAAACTCAGCATATCTCGCTTATGCTTCAGAATTAGAAAAATATGTGGACCCAAAAGAGCTGAACAGTATTTGTGACAACATGCATTCAGATAAATCGACCTTTTTAATGAAAATATTATGAACATGACATAACAGCATTATTCGGCGGATCATAGCATACTCGAATATATAAATCAAAAAAATACGCAAGCATTTGTATATGCATGAGATGTTTTGATGGATAGTGCGCGATATCTTCTGAGATGAATTTTTTTATATCTCTGCCGGGTAATTATAAAATGAATTCAGAAATTACCAGGAAGTAACAAGACTCATGAAAAAAATAGAAATTCTTCTGAAACTAACACTAGAAAAATCAAAAGAACTAGCAACTCTGATAGGGACAACAAAAAGATGTGAAACTTGAACAATAAACTACTCTTGTTAAGACTTGTCTTTATACACAGTTT